TCAATGCTACCAGAAAAGTGAAATATGGAATACCAGCAGTAAGGCATGCAGGACGCGTTTCCACTACTAATGCTGAAGCAGCCGAATTCCTAAAAATCCAGTTCTACAAAATATTCACTGCAGGTAAAGAAGGCGGATTACAGCTTCCACACCTTCTACCAAGTGTCCCATACCCCCAACTGACCACCGTCACGTTCAAATCTGAAACGGTTAAAAACAAACTATTGGTGCTGCGCCGGAATTCATCTCCAGGAGAAGACAACATCCGGTCACAGAGCCTGACGTCCTTGGCAAGTTACATATCTGAAATAATTACCCATTTATACCAAAGAATGTTCGACAGGACGAAGATCCCTCGACTCTGGAAACACGGCATCATTTTGCCTATTTATAAAGGTGGCTGTAGAAGTGATCCTGCGAACTACCGTCCAGTTACACTTCTTCCTGTTCTGTCAAAAGTAATGGAATCGATTGTTGCTGATTCTCTGATGGATCATTTCGAGAAGCATAACATACTTTCGCCGGCCCACACGGGTTTCGAAGGAAACGCTCGTGCACCACAAACCTGTTAATTGCACGAGATGAATGAACAAGATCAGTCGACGCAGGAGAAGCAGTAAATGTAGTCTACTTAGATTTCCCTAAAGCTTTTGATAGGGTTAACCATCATATACTGCTGCGAAAGCTCCATAATTACGGTGTCCGAAGACTGATACTGGACTGGATTGAGGAATTTCTGCGACAACGCACCATATCGGTTCGAGTTAATGGTTCTCTGTCGGGACCGACTGAGGCTGTCTGGGGGAGTTCCACAAGGATCCGTACTCGGTCCGTACCTTTCCTTAGCATTCGTAAACGACCTACCAGATATCCTTGGATAAAAAAGGTATTATTATTCGTCAAAACATGGAGGACGGTAAAATATCCTGAAGATTATAAAACCTTACAGGAAACTCTCGACGCAGCTTACCGATGGTCCATCATTAATGATATCGAATTCAACGTTGAAAAATGCAAGGTTGTATCGCTGCGCCACAAGGGTCGCTTTCCATACTTACCTGAAACTCAGCCATTGCTGCGTTCTCCAAACGAAAAGGACCTGGGAGTTATCGTTTATGAGGATCTAGGATGTTCCACACATTGCGCAAGAGCGTCTTCAAAGGCCATAAAACACGTTGGATTGCTAAAACGTGTTTTTGAATCATTTGAAATAGGCCTATCGCCTCGTTTATCATCAGCATACATTAGACCACACTGAGTATGCCATACAGGCTTGGAATCCATGGTTGATTCGCGACCAAAAGGCACTTGAACGTCCGCAGAGAACAGCA